CGGTCAGTTTCATTCCGTGACAGCACTTAGAGGTATTGTTATGTCAGATAAACCGTATGTCCTGGAATTATTTTAGTAGGTGTCAGTAGTATTAATCTATTTTCCTGCTTGTTCAGATTATTTCCAGTGAATCTTTGTCAACAGTTCGTTTTAAATGCAGATCAGTAACTTCCAAAAAACCACCACTTTTTGACTTCTTCAATGTAAAAATCCTTAAAATAAAAGTTGTCTCTTTAAAAGAAGCTATGCATACCTGTCATTTCTCTACAAATTAACCTAGTGTAGTTTTCTGTTTGTTACCTTTTCCTCGTCTGTTAAATTTTAGTAGCTAGTTTAACTCTAATCTTTACCAAGCACAGCAAATAATGGTTATCTGGTAGAATGCATTGGTGGAAGTAGTGAGATCTTAACGACTTCAGAGACATTAAATTTCAGGCACATGGTATTTATAGTTTATTTCATTTTCCTATGCTAAAGTAACAAGGCTTTCTTGGAATTCTGTTCAGTTGTTTTGATGGCAGTCTCACCTGCATCTGGACACTTTGTTTTCAGTCATATACTGTTACGTTCTTTGTGTGGAGAATACTCTGTTGATTAAGAACAACAAGACCTTTTGTTTTATGGGAGCAGGAAGAAAAGTTCTAAACCGAAACTCTTCATTGCGTCTCTGCTCCAGGTAAGGTATGAACTAGCAACCTTGCAAGCCATCCAGCTGTATTTGTGCCTTAAAAAGTTCGCTGTAATTCCCAGCAGCAAAATAGAGAACTTTAAATGACACTAAGTAATTTGTTATTGTCCTAGAACTTTTGCGTTTACAAAATGTTTTCACTTTTGTTCTCTCGTTTGAGCTTCATAACCCCGTGAGGCCAAGGTTGGCCTGCCTACACGGCAGTGTAGCATCCCGGGTAACTCGTGATTCCCCACCTCTCCTTCGTGTCACCATGTCACCTCATCTGGTTTTGCAGGCCCCCCACTTCCTGCTGCAGCTCCCCCCCCTCCTTTCAGTTGCACTTACCACCTTCTCTTAGGTCAAACCATATGAAGTTACCATTTTTGCAGGTAAAAATGGTTGGCGATTGGCAATTGAGTGGGGTAACCTACTCACATGAACTATAATTTACATTTGTATTTGTTGCTTGCTGCTTCTCCCCTTCATGAGTTCTAGAATGTAAGCTCCATATAAGGAGGGCAGGAATTTTTTCCTTTTATGGAAGTATAGAGGGATGGGGGAGGATTAAGAGGTTCAAACTACTACGTATAAAATAAAGGAGGGCCAGGATTTTTCTGTCATGTTTACTGATATGTACCTAGTGCTTTGAAGATAGGAGCAGCTCAGATGCTTATTGTTGAATGATGGGTGAATTAAGAACTCTGGGCTGAGGGGAGTAATAGCTCAGTGGTAGAGTGTATGCTTAGCATGTACGAGGTCCTGGGTTCAATCCCCAGTCCCTCCATCAAAAATAAATAAGTAAACCTAATTACCTCCTCCTCCAAAAAAAAAAAGAACTTTGGAACCTGTTTTCTCAACTGAGTAATGGGGGTCAGTGCTGTCTTCTTCACAGGCCTACTGGAAGGATTAATTAGATGCAGTAGTGCTGGTGAACAGGGACAGTGGCCTGGGGCACAGCCTGTGCTCCATAAACATGAATGTTTCGAGAAGATAGGTGCATGGCTGGTAGGTGGCAGGGATTTAAACCGAGATCTGTCTGATTGTTGGTACAATATCATGAAGCAGCTGAGTGGTTTCCCCTTCTGATTCATGCCAGCTCTTTAGCGTGTGGTTAAGTAATGTCTTAGCTGGTTGGCTAACCCAACCAGAAAGCCAGCTAGCAGCCAGGAAGGAAAGGTCTTCTGAAGCTCATGCCCTTTTCTCATAAGAATACTCCTCAGACTTTACTCAACCTGCTTTGGGGGCATACAATTCTAACAATTGTATTTCTTTAACTGACTTTCAACAAATCCGACGTCGTCCATTTTAAGATGGGAGAAGGGAGATACTGCCAGGAACAGCAGTGATTTTCAGGATGACAGTCTGTCAAAGTAGAGGAAAAGTATTCAAAAGAAAAAAGCTATAGCCTTCTGGGGCCATTTATGATGGGAGCACATGGTCATAATTGTCACACCTCAGCCATCCCACAGGGCTACACTTTCATTACAACCCCTGACAATAAGGGATGTTCATAAGGAAAGGAAAATGAAATTGCATTTGCTTGATTTTCAGAGATAGGGCAACATGGACCCTGTTTTAGGGGTATTACCATCCAAGGGACTGTTGGTGCTTAAAGGAGAGGTAAGCCTTAGTGACGTGAAAAATTCACGTGTCAAACCCTTCATGTGTTCAGTATTCTATGTATCATACCTGTAAATAGAGGTAGCTTCCCATTTTAATACTGTGTATAAAAGATTTATAGATAATCTGGGCTACCACTCTAATTCCTTTCCCTGATAAGTTAATCAATTAATGACCTTCCCTGCATTTGAGATTCTAGAAACACACTGAGCACCCACGATGTGCAGGTACTGGGGAAGATGGGTAAGGTTCCTGGTTTCATGAAGATTTCATTCTGGTTAGGGAAAGGGACAGTAAACAAAATAATTTCAAATAGTGTCAGGCTGTAAAGGACCTATGACAGCAACATGCCCTGGCCAGAGGAGGGACAAGGGCTGGCACCATATATTAGATCAGGTGCTTAGGGGAGGTCATGGTTGAGCTGCAACTGAATGGAATAGAAACTAGCCACATGAAGACTAGGATTAGAGTTCTTACAGTAGTAACAGCAAATGCAAAAGGCACTGAGATGGTGACAGGCCATCTGAGGTGTTGGAGGGAGAGAAGGGAGGCCAGAGTGTCTGCGGGGAAGGAGAGGGCTGGGACTGGAGAGGAAGGCCAGCGCCAGACCAGGGACCAGCTGGTAGGTGGAGGCCCGAAGAGTGGACGTTCTGCATTCCACAAAGGGAAGGCACTTCAGGGTTTTAAGTAGAGAGTAATAAGATTTTATTTGCCTTTTTAGGCAAATAAAAGGTACAAGAACCTCTAAGAGCAGTTCTGAAAGGAGGTGTAGAGGCTTCAGGAATAAAACCGGCAAAGCCAGCAGTAACACTAATACATTAATATGTGTCAGATTCTGTGCTGAGTGCTTTTATACATTATTCATAGCACGTTTCACAGAACAGACTCAGGTTCAGTTGCTAGACTTCGTGGAGGGAAGGCTGTTGTGGACAACTTGGCTACCGTTTCTTCCCTGGATTATCCTGGTAGCCTCCAACCTGATCTCCAGCTCCCATCCTTGTGCCCCCTCCTTCTGATGGATCCACACAGTGTCAACCCAGCAGCCAAAGTGATCCCGTTAAAATGTTAGACCTACTGAGTCGTTCTTGGGCTCAAATCCTTACTGCGGCCCCTAGTTTCAGAGGAGAAACCAAATTCCCACAATGGCCAGTCATCTATTCCTCCCCATCTACTTTTTGCTGCTCCAAGCACCCTGGCGGCATCCTCACTGCCCCAGAAGCATGTGGAGCAAGCTCGGGCATCTCCCCTTCGCCAGAGCGCTGGGACCGCCGCCCCAGCCTCCTAGCCGCCCCCCTGCCTCTGCTCTTGCCCCTTCTGGTCAGCGCCCCACTGCAGTTAGGATCATCTTTTGTTCACTCTTGTTTTTCTTTTCTTTTTGGGGATGATCTTTTAAAAATATAAATCAGATTACAATTGACCCTTGGATACAATGACTGAACTGCAAGAGCCCACTTACAGGCAGAGGTATTTCAATAAATACCTATAGGGCTCCACGATTCATGGTTGAATCTGCGAATGTGGAGCTGACTAAATTTTTTCCCTTTTTCAGTTTTACTAGGTATAAGTATTACAGTTGACTTCACATATACATTATATTGCATGTAAATACATATATACAATACACCTCATTTTTTAGTTGTCATATATGTACTAATTATTGTTTCTAAGAACAGATAAGAGCTTTAGCTTTTTAAACTTACATGGCTATCAAAGGAATAAAGCCAACCACAAAATAAGAATTAAGAGTGCGGTAATCCAATCCTAAAGGAAAGGAACTGACTGTAAATTTGTACATGAATTTCTGACTGCTCGGAGGGTCAGCGCCCCTGCCCCCTGTGCTGTTCAAGGGTCAGCTGTGTATCACTGGCCTGCTTAACCCTCGAAAACTCAGGCTATCCTCTGGCCTGCAAGCCTGTGTGTAAACCAGCCCCTGCCCAGTTGTCTGACTTCATTTGCCCTCTGCCTTCTTACTTCACTTTACACTGCTGTTCCTTCCTCTGCCATTCCATTCCCCCAGATCAGCCTGGCTGCCTCACAGATCACCTGGGGGAACCCTTCCCTGGTCTCCCTCCAACCGCCTCAAAGCTACTCTCCCTACGTTACCTGTGTTTTAGTTCCCTCGGGGTCCTTAACAGTCCCTAAATGGCAACAACCACCACAGCTGCTCGGTTGGATTTGCCGCTCTGCCGTCGATTGGGCCGCGGAGAAACAGCCCAAGTAACTATAAGCCACTTATTACTCGGCGGCGGAGGCCGGATCAGCCTGATGTCAGCCTCCCGCATCCCCAGCCCCACAGGATGACACCAGACCAGAGGGGACAGATGACACAAGTGGGTGCTTGTAGAGGAGCCGGCTCCACTCTCCAACTCAGTGACGGACTATCCTGGGGCTGTACCCGAAGTGGGGCAGCAGGGTTGAAAGGCCACACCTTACCGAACCAGGGAGGCCAATGAGAAATGCCTCATGGCAACCCCCGCAAGATCGGGAGTTGGGTGAGAAACGGTGTTGGGACAGCTCCTCACAAGGCTGTTCCTGGGAAGGCCACGGGACATTGGTCTGAGACTAGGGGCAGACTGCAGTTGACTTTGTCCACATGGCCTATGTGGAGAGTCCCATGGAAGAGCATTGGTTATCAAATTATCACCACACGCAATGGAACTGTACTAAGCACTTCTGATTCCTTATGATGACCACTCTGAGGTGGGGTGGGTTTTTTAAAAAATTCATCCCTATTTTACATATGAAGAAATGCAAGCCTAGACAGGTTGCATAATTTGCCCAGGATTACACAGCTGGAAGTGGCAGGTGAGGAATTCGAGCCCAGGCAATCTTATTCCAGAACCTGGCTCTTAGCTCATGGCCACTTAGTCTTTGGGGCCCAAGTGTTTTATGGAAACTACACTGATAGCACAGAGGCAAATATTAGACTCATTGAAGGTAATAATTTCAAATGACTTGTACATTAAAGAGCTTTTTTTGAGGTCATAGCTGATCTTTAAGAATGTAAACTGACTTCCTCTGGCACTGGGAAACATTTTCAAAGACGATTACAGAGTTCCTTTAATGTGATCTGCAGATTTTTCTGCCGACTTACTTTATGATCCCGTGGGCAGCTTCAGACAAAATAACTTTCTGGCATGAAGGATTGTGTGTGCTCTTTGCCATTTTTAAATGTGATTTTTATAGATACTTCAAACCACTTGAAAGAGTAATGATTTTTAATGGTTTTTCATGATTATTTGTAACTTCAAGCATTACTGATAAAAACTGCCAAATTAAGTTTCAGATTTTCTCTTTAAAAAGCATGGGTGTACTTCCTAATGAGCTTCCCCATTATGATTCATGACTGAAGTAACTTTCAAACTTGGTAGCTTTTCAGTAGAACT